TTTTTTTAGTATTTACAAGACGCAATTCTTGAATAAAAATAAAAAAGTTTTTAAAGATATGTAATTTAAACAAATAAACTTTTAGAACTGTGCTCGAATACAAGATGCCAACTCAAACAGGAATTTATTAATCAAAATAAAAATAGCAGCCATTTACATCCACGTAGATTCATCAGTTGGTATACTTTTTAAACTAGACCTCTATAACAATAGTACAATAAGATCACAGAACATTCAAATGGCCTAAATGTATTCGTTATTTAAGAAAAAAAAATATATTTACAAACATTATAAGCTGAATAGCTTATCCAATTCCGTCCATATCAGAAAACTATGAGAGGGGTATAGACAATTAGTAATAATGAAAATACTATGGGTTTTAAAATTGATATAGGTATAATATAACAATATATAACAACAATGTTTATAACAGATAATTTTTAAAAGGCTCATTACAGTTTTTATTTATAATAAAATAATTAAATATAGGTGAAACGGGCAAAACTAGATTGGTACTTCGGTTGTATACCAACTGTAAGAAATATATAAATATTTTAAGTTTTTAAAACTTTAATTAGTTAATTTTCATTATAAAAATATCCGCCAAGTGTACTTTCTGCTCTATATATTATTTAGATACTTTCAAATTGTATTAATTGATTGTTAAATTTGTTCGTTCTTCGTATTTTTAAGAATAAGAATATATAATATATAGAATAGTTTTGAATTATAATGGTGATTATTATAAAATGTTCAGTCATTTGTTATGGACCACAGTGGTTGAAAATAAAATAGCACACCATCATTATTGTATTTTCTTTGAAGTTTCGATAAGGGCACTATTCTGACATAAGAATTTACAAATTATTTAAAACTGTGTCTTAGTTAATATTGATAACTTTACTTCAATTATCGAATACAAATTACATTTTAAAATTACAAAAACTAACTTCTTTCAAAGTTTTAAAACTTAGTTTAGAAGAATAATTTTGCAACTTTTTTTAATTTGGTTAATAATTAATATTATTATCTAACTGGAATTATTAATGGGTAAATTCTAAACTAAGGAATTTCAAAATAATTCAAATACATAAGCATTGATAAATAATAGTACTATAACTAATCAAGTATTTTAGTATATAATATGATGTAATGTATGGCAGCGTCTATTTAACAAATAAGTCAATTCAATGAAGTCAATTTTCATAAGTTATTAGTTAATTAGTAATAATTTACCAGTTGGGGATATTTCTGTTTAAAAACATAGATAATATATTATATTATATATTTTAAGCAACAATTCTTTCTATTTTATTTTATATTTTACAATGCATAAAAAATAGAAGGACAATATTGTTAATAATACAATATATGAGTACACAAACAAACGGATTGAAGAGATCTCCCAGTGAAGGGACTTGGATATGAATTAGTAATGAATACCTATTAAATATAATTTATTATTATATTTACTCATTTTTGATATAAAAAAAACATTCGTTTCGTTTTTATTATTTTAGATTCTGAGCGGAGCGAGGAAGCTATTGGTTTTACAATGGTACTTATTTTTTTTTCTATATATATCCTGTATACAAAATTTCTACCAGAAGGAGTGCTTCGATTTCAACATATATAGTACCTTATCTTTTAGAAAATTGTATCAAAATGGTACTTTAAAGAGGTAATATTTTGATTTCCTCAATAGTTATATAATTCCACGGGAAAAACCACCGAAAAATTACGAAAAACCACTTAAAATCGGATTTTAATTTCTAACGCTTTGTTTATCACCATCGAAACGAATAAAAAATTATAATATTAATTCAACTTACATGATATAATAAATAATAACTATATAAAATATCCAGACTGACAAACCGTCTCAGCTCAGAATCGTTTTTCTTATACAATGATATTATATCATTGAATTCAAGTTTAATACAATCCATTATACAATGACCCACTTGTAACCTACTATACAGCAGAGCGACATCCACTTACCCGCTTTTTTTTAATTAAATATTATTAGGTAATTTATTTTTTTAACTCAGTCGCTAGTACTGTCTTTATTTATATATTTTTTTGTATGTCTACAAGTGATGAAAAGGAAAGTATTTCACTGCTTTCGTTTCGTTTCTGGCAGATAAATCTGCCTCCTCGTTTCCCTTTATGTTGCAAAGTCCTGTAGTCCATATAAATCGTATATCATTATTAGATTTGGAATTAAGGTTGCTGATTTTTTAAGCCAAGGTCTTTTAGTTTTTTCGATTCCAAATCTTTAAGCTTAAGAGCTAATTGGGTTCCTTTAAGAAGTACATATTAGGTTTCCGGATGTATAAATGCTACTATGACTATTTAATTGGAACTATGTTATAAAACATTTTAAAAATTCACGCAGGTATATGCACGAGACAAAAACGACGTCCTACAATTATTGCTATATTTTATTCGAGATTACAATGGTATATTACTACAAAAGAGCCAACGATCCGTCACACGCCCACACACTAACTATAACTGCATTAATAATATCATGATATCTCATTAAATTTATTTTTAATCTCGGTACAGAAGTCGAACGTCATTTTGTAACCGTATTACTATAGTATTATTAATATCGTGAACGCGTGTGCCAATATAATATTAATATGAACGCTAATGTGGGTGAATCGCGAGAGAGTTTGCAGTGAGAGAGAGAGGGCCAGGGAGCAAGTAACATTATTCTCGGCGATCAGACACAAATGGTCTGAAGTAAATCGATGGCTAACCGGTGCGGCGTGACAGGTGCTGCAGCACTCTTGAGTAATGGTGGTTACTAATTTGGACATCTAGCCGGCTATAGATCAAAAAGAATTACCGATATATAAAGGATCTCACGTCCGAGATAGGTATCGTCCGTGATGGGCTATTACGTGATAAGTAGTCCGAATAATTAGGACAGGCGTTAGACTCTGTTACTTAAAACCGTACAGGATTTCGGTTTGGTCGTTTATCGATAATGCGATCGTGAGTGCTCAGTTCAATCCCGTTATTCCGGCAAAGACAAATGTTCAGGTCTAATGTCATCGTCTTCATTTGAAATCAAAATATATATAAGTAGGGTATAAAAGGAAGATCTGACAGATGAAACAACTCTTGTTCTAATCAGTATTTTTACAATTTTTTTTTTATTTTATTATAATTTATCGTCATTTGTGCTACACGTATAATATAAAAAAAAACATTTTTATTTTTTAATAAGTAGTGAAAAAATATTACTTTCTTGAATAAGAACACAATTTTATTTTCATTTCCGAAAGCAGAATATTTTTAAAAGTATTTCAATACATAAAAATCAAATTTAGGACGAGTTATCTGTTTATGAGTTATAAGTATTTAAATAGATGAACGGAGTAGTGGACCGACATTTTGCGGGGTCCACACGTACCATTCCACTCCTGTGATCATCAAAACTTTAAATACTTATAACTCATAAACTCGTCCTAAATTTTAATTTTTATGTATCGAAATACTTATAAAAATATTCTGCTTTGAAATATGAAATTAAAACTGTATGTTGTTATTCAAAAAAGTTCAAAAAGTTCAAATATTTTAGGGATAAAAAATATTAAAATAATTATATATTTTTTAAAAATGACGTTTTTAAAGACTCGAAATAAAGTAAATTTTTTTTTAAAATTATTTATGTATTTTTTTAATAATGTGTGTTCAATGATGAAATAATCACTGGCATATAATATAATATTGTATACCTACCTAATATATAATGATATTTTGTAGTGCAAACGTAATCCAATTGGTGCCGGGTGCGAACACTTGAGTGTAACTGACTTATGGTTTTGAAAGAGGAAAACCACTTCAAGAGTCGAATGGTGTTTCTCTAAACATTATTTCCTCTTTTCACAATATTATAAAATATTATTATTATTAACATCTTTGTATAAGTCAATATAATATATTATAGTATTTTATCTGAACAGTAGGTATTTTGATTAAATGCATACATAGTGCATCACGTGCATACATATAGTGTTTCATCACCTCGTCCGTCCCCTTAAATAATATACGCCTTTACCAGACCGCCTATATCCTATTCTATTGTCTAATCTTGCATTGCTATTTAAAACTAGCCTTGGAAATTAGTAATTCAGATTTATATGTTTATATGGTATACGTTCATTTTGGGAAATGATAATATTGTTTATAATAAAAATAATTTAATAAATAAAGGTAGGTATCTCCTTGACAACTTCTATTGAATTTTAAGATAAAAATAATATTACCGTCAATTTATATATTATATAAATGTAATTACAGATGTTGTTGAAAGAAAAATGTACACTTCCCGCCCACTGGTCGAAGCAATAATGATCGTAGAGCAGTACAATACATTAGGAACGAAATTCATATATATATACATATCACTTTATTATTAAGGGTAACGTGGTATAGGTATAGTAACTAATATAATACTACAGATGGTTTATTATATTATATATGACGTGCATTTTCAGTTTTTGTGTACTTTTACTCGGACGAAAAGATAGTAAGTAGCGGCTGTGGGGGTGCGGGGACGACATGACGATGATTGTGATGATGATGATGATGATGTTGATGACGATGATTATCATCGTTACTTTTTTTTTTTATTCTGTTGACATTGGTTAGAAAAGTATTACAACAACACGAAGGAGAAGTGTCATAAATAACGTTGATAGTATTAAAATTACTTTACGAAACATCTTTTGTTGAAGTGTCAAATGGAGTGGGAGAGGAATGCGCGTGCATCATTGTAACAAGCATACACACACACATACACACCACACGCACCCACACACCCACACACACAGACCCACGCACAGACACACACGTAGACAACTCGGTGCGAGAGCGTTGTGTTCCGGAGTGTGAGCGTGCTTCGGGGGATGAAAAAGGGATGTGGCGCGCCGGGGGCGAAGGAGCATATTTGACATGATGTTTGTTGTGGTTTATATTCCTAGCTAATACACGCCACAATGCGTACAACAATGACTACGGTGGGTACACGCTGTTAAAGAGCTTTTTACCCTCCCGTAGGCACCCCCAAAACCCTTCTTTTCAGGATTGTTTTTTTTTTCGACGTTCCTCTCGGGTAAAAGTTTTACGATGACGCGCTCGTGCGAGTGTGAGTGTGTGTGAGGCGGCGGCGACGGAGGAATCGGAACGGTATACGGGTCGGGTCGGGTCGGGTCGGGGGTCGTGTATACTGGTGGTCGCGCGGGGTCTCCGTTGCTACGAGGTCGATGGTGAAACTGAGGTCCGTATTCTTCTTTTATCATTATTATTATATATTTTTTTTTTCGTTTTTGTTGTTCACCCCGTATATTGAAAATACGGATGAGTGCCGCACGTGGATTTCAAAGGAAGAGATTTCACTTAACGCGCGCGACCGAGAGGAGTGTGTACATACATAATACCTTCGACGACGTGTACCTACCTACCTACCTACCTACCTATACCTACCGTATATACTGGATGACAATGTTGAAACAAAAGTAACAGCACTACCAGAGTCTAGACACCAACTATACGCGTGGATGCGATATCTCATAATACGATGCGACCGCTGCGCCGAGAGAGACACTATTCACATAGCATTATGTAGTAGGTACATAACATAATAATATATAACATGCACACCGTGAACAGCGTCTGACGCGCTCCGAGTAAGTCACATAATCTCTGCGATGAGCGCAACGAGATATTATATTATTTAGAAAACTGTTTGGTTCGAACAATAGGAAACATTAAAAATAAAAAAAAAACCACTTTTCTGTGATTCACTCTGTATACGAAATTTTAACCCTACGCTTAAAGATTTGTTGCATCATATTGTTTTTTATTTTTTTTTTTATTTTTAAAGCAAGTACGATAACGCGTACCTACATCATAAAGCAGTGCACATTTGTGTATGTACGTATTATTTTTTTTTTTATAATTATTTAACTTTTTGCTGTACATGTTTTAATTTTAATTTTTTTGAATCGTCCTGTTTTTGGTCAATACACTCAAATCCGACAGTAAAGAAATTGTGATTTAAACAGTTATATTATGATTTTCCTCGATTTGATTTTATAGTTGTGATTTTTTTGATAAGTTCTTAAGATATTTAATTAATTTATACATATCTATATAATAAAAATATAATTTATACTTTTAAATTATCGCTTTCATATGATTTACACTTGGCACATAATTATAATTGGCACTCTTGACAGATTAAGAGGGAGGTATATTATAATAATAGAACAGACAATTATTCATTTAAGTTTAAGTTTTCTTTTTTCTTTTTTCTGCTGGCTATTGAAGAATTTGTAGACCTTTATGCCAAAAGACCGTATTATTATCCAATAATTATTATACCCTCGTTAATGTCTGGCATATTTAAGTAATTACAAAATTAAATAAAAAAAAAATTATAATGAAAAATTTATGACCAAAACTATATCTAATGTTAAAAAAAATGACGTTCATTCTGTAAGTAAAAATGATGGCCATTAAAAACGATTAAAAGATGATTGGATATTAGTACTATTATTTTTTTTTTCGGACGCCGTAAGTCGAGATCGTAAGTAATTAATTTTGTATGTGTATATTAAACGCGTTTAGTGTCTTGTGCAAATGAAATATCTACAACATTTTAATGCGCATTAATCCAAGTTTTCATTATATTACACTTACAAACTTCTACAACGATGAACATTTAGTAAATGAAATTATTCTGTTTACACGTGTTGGTAGTTCGTCAAAAACAGTTGGTTAAGCATGACGTGGCCATGTTCAGTTTAAATTTAATTATGATAGCACAGATAATATTATAATATTATTATGATTATAATATATTATTATTAACATGAATGTTATACGATAAGACGTGATATGAAAAACAACGTCAGTGTTATATAGGTTAGGTTTGTGTATAGTTATGTAATATTATAACCTAGTTACTATATCATTACAATACAATATAATATTTACTTATATTATATTATAATCGCTATATTATTGCCATCTTACAGAAAATACTGAAATAATCGTTGTTAAAAAACTAATTAAATTGTCGGTTTCTCGTACCCGAAATGTGATCCATGGCGTAGGTATCAGATCTTCCCCGCACTCAGGACTTTCACAGTTTCGTCAACCAGGAGTAAAATGCAACGTCTGCAGACCAAGGTTATATAATATATACTCTGTTCAAAATTAGATCAGTACCGGGTGGCCAAGTTGTGCGCATGGGCTTAGTTTCGTCACACGACACAATTCTACGCGCCATCATATTGGAGATGGTGTCTGACCTTCACGGACGAAAACTATAAATTTAAAATAACCCATAGAGAGCTAATATTTAAATCATTAAGGGATAGTTATTTTGAGAGGGGTGATAATAATAGTCAGGGGGCTAAGATTCACCGCCCCTCCCCAATTTGCGCCCCCTAGTTGCTCTGAATACGAATCAGTCGTAGACCGTCTTCCGATCGATGCGCACAGGATACTGCGTTTTATATATTATTGTTAATATTATTGTCGTGTGATAGATGCTGCTTGGGAACATCTCGGAATAATTTGTTTCCTGGTTCAAATAACGAACGGGATGATTATTATTGTCTACGGCTTAAGACCGGACATCCCTAATGGCCGACACAGGTCTTAACAGAACGCACAGTTTTTCAGTACAACGGATTTCCAGCACGGGAGTGCGACTACAACACTATTCTTCGTTATTTTAGTGGGTTTTTTTTTACCATTATACAAACTATATGTATATACAATATTCATATATTTATTTATATACATACTTATTTCGAATCGTTAGAACTTAGAACTTGAAACCGCTTGAGAAAACCGTCAAGATTTACATGTTTATATCTGCAGTAGTTGTAGCACAAGAGTTACCTCTCGTAGTAATAATATATTATTATTCGTATAGGTATACATAACACGGCGTGGACCCCAAAAAGCTGGTATTGTTCGAACCACTTTTGTTCAAACAGTGTGCAAACGCATCACGACCAAACGGCACACTTGGTTTTTATGACATTTTCGATCCTAGGACAAATATTCCAGATATGGGTTTTCTGCTCGAGTTTTTCAGTTATACGCCCGTCAGCGCCGTCTTATCGTCTTTGGTTTTATGACCCTTAACCTGATTATGGCATTTTTATACAACCGAATTCACGATGATGACGTTACCGTATTATTAAAGACGTTTCGTAACTGGTTTTTTATCATTCCAAAAAAATATTTCTCGTTTTTAAGCTCTGTTTTGTACGCGATATTATTACAAGCTTAATAATAAAAGTGGAAGTGGAATGTCAATCCCTGAAATATTCGTTTATCTACATCCAATTAATTTATTCCGTCATAATATAAGTCTTATGCGTACAAAGGTATTCAGGTAGGTAGGTACTTATATATTTTAGTTGATTTTACTTGTATAGCCGAAATCATAAAGTGGCTAGGTATATGTATATTATTATTAATTAAAACGAGGAATTTCGGAGGGTGAAAACGATATTTTCGTCGTTGACTAAATAATGAGAGATCAGAATCTCAAAAGATTATAGACGTTGCTATGGATGTAAGTGCAGTGTTTTTGAGGACATGCAGAGATAAAAAAATAAAATCAATTAGGTTTTTTTTATATCATATTTACTTTTGATGTTTATAATTATTGGTTTCATCTTTACAGTCTATAATTGTATTATTTTTGATAACCTTAGAATGCAAAAAAGGTATGAGACATATTTTATACTGTTATTTGATAACATTTAATATAGTACAACATCTATAGCGTACAGTGTTTGTAATAGAATAAATTTATGTTTAAGGTTTTTTAATCAAACCATAATTTAAAAACTTTTTGAATTTATTTTCCGCGCAATAGATATAATGTTTAATTGTATATTCCTTTTAGATTTTGATAAATATACATATTATTAACCGGCCAGTAACTTGACCGGTTTCTGGGATTTAAATATTCAGAGGATAAATGATGTCCTAATCCTTATTTTTATGATTTTAATGTTCCTAAAAGTATGATAGTATTTTATTTAACTATAATGCTATTTGAAATATCCATAGTTATAATTTGGTACAATACCTAGTAGAGTTGTGAAACATGTCATTATATTTATAATTCTGGTGAAAATATAGGCTGAGTAACTTTGTACCAAAAGTCTTAACGTTAGTATAGTGTTTTAAAATATTTTATTGTGATTAAAAATCTTTTCTTTGCGAGTTTAAAATTAAAAATAAAATGCAATCACAATAAATCTTTATATTCATATAATGCTATTACAGTGCTTTGTATATTAATGAATACGATTTTCACTCTCGTGAATGTCAAACCAAGCAAACTTAAACAGACATAATATTATGTCATATGTACCCTTATTTACAACCTATAGCTATAAACTAGCTTTAATAATATAATCAGCATCCTGTTTGCACCGCGATAGGTAGGTTAGGTATAATATTTGTGCATAATAAATTATATTTATTTATATCGATTATTTCTATGACGAGATGGATAAATCAGTATCGTCTTCGACAAATTTACAATTCAAACGAACAATTTCTATAGTTGTAGACATTAGCGTCACCGTCGTAACGAAATAAAAAGTGTTCGGGCGCGTTTTAGATTGTTTTTGAAGATAATCAGATACACATCGACTACAGATGTAATGGATTCGAAGTGACGATACGGAATAGACATATTGTTGTGTAACTTTATTTATACGCTTATGTTACTAAGTATAGTAATACTTAATACACTACACCAGTCATGTCAAACTCAAAGTATTAGTGTATTGAATAAATTTTATTTATTACTTACAATAAAATACAATACTTATTCAATTATAGTTTATCAGAAGGTAATATAGAAAAGTATCATAATGTATACCTCTCGGCAGGTCTCACTAACATATTATATTATAGTTGTGACTTGTGACATGAAAGGAAATGTTTTTTTTTTTTTATAAATAATTTTTTTCAATTAATTGTTCATTAATATTTCCGAGAGCCATAAAAAAATGAGGTCACGTGTTTTTGCACTGCACTTATATTATATTATTATTATTATTATTTATATGCATACGTTTGACATAATTACTATATTACGGGCTATATTATTATTTTATCATTACCTACTGTTTTTAAGTCGCTCGAGCAAAATTGTACGATTGTATAAAAAAGTTTTTCCTAACACTAGTTGTACTAACCTCAATATTATAAAAATCAGGTAAATTCTCAAATAAAGCAGCCTATGGATTATTATAACCATATTATGAATATTATTTAATATTACGCAATCGTTAAATCTTAAGGCCAGTCAATCCCATGTTCCGATTTCGGCGATGTTGGGTAGGTACTTGGGTTATATTATGTAGAGCGGTTCTATGAAACTACTAATAAGAATCGTAAGTCTACGTTACAATAACATACTACACCTTATCACTGTAAATATAATAAAGAGTGACGATATCCCGTTGGTCAGTGGATCACCAATATATAAAATAACATGCTCTCTGCAGTATATTCTCACCGCATTAGGTGGCGTGCATTGAATTGCAATCGAATTGCAGTGTGTAGATATTCGATACGTATACGACTGGGGAATGTTTACTCCAATAGAGTAGGTATGTGTAATGTGAAATGCATTGCCCATTATAAAAAAAAATACTTCAATACCAATTATACCAGTCACGTGTGCGCATCACTCGGTTAATGAAAAAAAAAAACAGAACTCGATCCGACTGGACTACTGGAGTGCCCGTTGTTATTGGATTTAATATAATATGTTTTAGTGTTGCCATGTCGTGATAAAACTGATTTCGGTAAAATTGACCATATCGTATAACAATATACTTGTGTATAAAGTGTGTATAATGTTGAACAGTCGTCGAATCTTGACATTTCAATTGCTTAAATTACACTCGAGTTTCCGAGAGTTGACTGCATTATTTTGTTTAGGCAATACAATATGTTACTTTACCAGACTATATTGTATGCGCGTAAGCTGTAAATGGCCGTGCAAAGGACAAATGCGTTGGGAACTTTGTGTTTGTGATGTTGAGATTAAAGTGAAACGAAAAAGATATAAAATCAAATTAAAATATTAAATTTCAAATGGTATGATTTGTATTGGGCATAAAAATATAATATACCAGTTTTGAATGTGGCAATCGCAAATATTGCAGGTTCGGATTATATGGTGGATGATGATAAAATATATTAAATCGATAGCGAGGTTAAATGTGATGACTCCAATTTCCTGAAAATAGACACCGACAACAGTGTACGTAGGTACAATATTATCGTACGCGCGTAACGATTGAAGAATTTGACTCTGTTGGCCCTGCGCGAGTTTTTAGCAACGGCGAGACATTCTCACGCAAACCTCCTGACAGAGGATGTCTCGAAATTTGTCCCGTTCAATCCACAATAAAGAGACACCGAAGCACAACAACTGTATAGTGACTAACAATCACTGCGAGAGTCGTGGACGGTTGAACATTTCATCAGAACACAATAAGCCCCTGAAGTACGGTTAGTAGCGGTAGAATGGCATATATATATATATAGTAGATGTATACAGTTGTAGTGGGTAGCAGTCTAACTAGTATCTAGACATATAGTGGCAGTGGTATAGTGTTGGTGGTAGCACGAGCAGCAGCAGCAGCAGCAGCAGTGGAATTCGAGGGATGAAGTTTGTAAACTGCCGCAATAAAAAGCGCACCGAGCAGATCGTTAGCGGAAACAATAATTTGTTTCCACGAGAGAATTTAATATTCAACCGCTTCTCTTCCTCCTCGCGCCTATATCTTTCACCTCCCGGCGCCCGCGACATGGCCACCGCTATCGTAAATGGCCGCCTCCACCTTACCACCTCCACCGTCGCCAGTGTATTTTTCGTCGTCGTCTCCCGTTCCGGCGCCGCCGTATTTCACCACGGAAACTCGGTGTTTTATGACGACGGTCGTTACTGGTTCATTAGTTTTTCTAAGATCTCCAGGGCCTCACCGTCACGGGGAATCAGCAAATCGCATAAGAATCCACTTATTTAAATTCCGGAACAACGTTTTTACGACCTCGAACACGTAAACCCCACTGTATACGTCGTGTATTAATATATCGCTTAAAACAACACGGCTTCTGTGGGGGTTCGGGAGTGAGTGGGTGATAGTCGGCTCCGAGCGCCGAGGGGACGTTTCCATCTTTCGCGAACAGCATCGCTGCAGTACTTTATGGGTGTTCCGGATTAAAACTGGGCGGATTCCACACAATCTCGGAAAATACTTATGTGGTTTTTATCGCCTCCAAATGCGAAATCCAAAAGTTTCCCGCTATTTGCTACGCGTATTTACGACGGACCCGGATTATCGGAGATTTGTTGTACAAGAAGTCTCCCCGCGTGTAGTTAGTGCTTTTTTCCTTCTTTTTTTTAGTCTCTTTGTGTCCGAGATATACACACAATTTATGTTATCTTTTTCTAGTTACAATTGCAGCTGTGAGGAATACAACGCAACTCGTGGCGGAGTGAAGCAAAAAAACCATGTAAACATTTTATATTGTTGAAACACAAATATTTTCAAAAACTTTTAATACATTTGAGTTTTACATCACACTTTGACTTATCTCTCTACGACGAGATCGACTATAGTGTGTTATCTATATTTTCTTTGATTTCCTATCTCTTTTTTTTTATATGAAGCATTCCTATTCCGTTGAGCCCACTTGATCATGGTTTATAATATTATGGTCATTCCTCTATCTCATTCTTCTCATTATCTTACTAAATTTCAGAGAACTATATTAATTATTTACTTTATTAATACAATCATATCCAAGAATATATATACGATTTCATAAAAGGTATATAATATTATGTTGTTATATATGGTTTAATTTTTAATTAAATTAAATTTTTCATGTTTGAAATAAGTTACGCTAATATTTTATATTAATAATAAATAAATCTTGGTTTAAAAAATTATAATAGACTGAATAAAAAAGTGTATAAAATAGTGAACGAAATGACATTAATAATATCTTTATATTATGTTTAGTATGATACCTGTCATTTTTTGTTTTATTAAAATTAATGTTTTGCACTTTCAGTTTGTCTTCTTTTATTAAAAAACTTATATTGTTTGAACGTTCAGTATAATTAATTTCCTATCTGTTTTCAGATGCAAATTTATGATTGTGACGGAGAAGTATTGCACGGTCTAATCTCTAAAAATATGACCATACGTCGCTCAGCCGTCCCATGTGCATTCCACTCAAACTGTTTATGTAGGAGGAATTACATAATAATATGATCGCTTACATATAGTTATTATCAAGAAATGATTAATATAAGATATTCAAATATTCCGTATTCGTATATATCTCTATTACAATTAACAATTTAACATAGAGTTTTAGTAAATTAATTTATTATTATATCTTACCCGTAGGCCATAACCTAGGATAGATAATGAATTAATAAATCAGTTGAACTATTGCGCATATTATATTCAGTTGTCCTGCCCTCTCCCACCACTAGTCTAAATTTACCTAACATACATTTCAGGCTAACTATGTAGGTAAACGTTGAATGTTTTTAAGATTATCATATTTTGAATTACAAAAAATAAATTAAAACAGTTACATACCGCGTGGATATTTAATTTTTTCAAGATTTAATTTCAGACGCCCATGAAAATTATTTGAGGAATAATATAATGGTAAGCTATTTTTATAATTATTGTAAGAAAAACTTATACAGAACCTTATATCAGTGAACTTTAAACGCTTATGAAAAAATATTGTGTCTATGTATTTTCGATTGATACATGAACAACTTATGCGGAACCTTATAATATTACATTTTCTAGCTTTTTTTTTTTATCTGAAAACCAAATATATACATTTCATAATAAGTGCCAAAATATTTGGTTTGTATTAAGTCAAGTAAATGCTAATATGAATATTCTGTGAAAATCTGAAGTCTCAAAATGTATTCATTTTTGGGTTACCTACAGCAAAAAACCAAAATCAATTTTGTCAAAAACTGGGTTTTGCATAAAAATAAACGTTTTTAATTTTTTTCCCGGTTATTTTGATAAGTACTAGAAATTTTTTGCTTTTTATTTTTACTTTATATATAAAAAATAACAAATTTAAAAAAACAGTTACGTAACTAAATAAATAAATATTGTTATACAATCTTTTAAAAATGTTTATTTTAAAATAATGACTAGTAAACAATATATTATAATAAATGATAACATACTAGTTAATAATCCTCTACCTATAAAAACAAAAATCGAAAATTAAACTTTTAAAACCTTAAATAATATACAATAAATACATAACACCATATAAAAATCCAATCTTTAGCCTTTTGTACTGATCAAACTAATAAAGCGTTACAATTTCGGAAAATATATCTGAATTACTCATGAGGTCTGCTACTAGAGATCAATGTTTTCGAAAAATCCCCACGAACTAATTAACAAACGATATCAAAATGACGTTAACAAACAACCTCGGTACACACAAATACCTTAAACATATAACAACACACCAATCATACCATATTGGTAAACTGTAGCCCCAACACATTACAATCAATCACATTCCACAATAAGCCAGGCGGCTGATGAACAATATACCACAAACCAATTATTTACCATATAACTATGTAGAAACTCATCTACTCAAAGAAAACAATACCTACCTGTTCAATTTGCTCAAACACTAATCATTCAGATTTTTGGTGGACATACTGCTAGTATTATTGTAATTTATATCATGTTGACAAGTAATAAAACTACATACAAGGTTAAACACAGTGGATAGCTATAAACCACGCTTATAGCTATTAAGTCAAATTTGTAATCAATCTGAACAGTTAAAAGTTATTAGCTAATAACTGTAATGTTTATACGTAAATTAATCTGAAAAGATTTAGAAATATAGATCGAATTTGGCTATCTATAGTTCAAGCTTCATGACAGAATAGACAACACAAAAAAAAGTGTCCAAGTGGGTATGGCTCGGCTGTAAAGACATTTATAAGTGGGTCACTGTAATGGATGTGTTAAATTTAAATTCAATGATAAAATATCATAACGTATATGAAAAACGATTCTGAGCGGAGACAGCCCAATATTAATAAGTATATTTTATCATATGAGTCAGCATATGATATAATATAATATAATATTTATATAGACTTTTTTTTTATTAGGTACTATTAGAATTAATTATAGTAAGTTGACTTAAAGTTTTCTAAAAATATTGCATAAAAATACATATTGCAATATTAATAATTTTAAAATTCTAGTTTCCTCCAATATTATTAGGAAAAGTACATTGAATTTTGACCTCTTGAAAGTATCAACTAGATCCAATTTGTTTAAAGAATTCACAATGAAAGTTGAAAATCGAACATTTTTTTCTACTATTTACCATGGCATATTCAGACACATAAACAACAAAACACACATCATTGTAAAATCAATACATTCATCGCTCCGAACAGAATCTAACATATAAAAACAGTGTGCATAATATGAAAAACAAAGGGTGACCTACTAAACATTTGTCAATAACTTAAAAAAATACCTTTTACTAACTCTCATCGTGGTATTACATATTGTGTGGTATATATAGAGTTTTTTATTTATTAAAGATTCATCTAAATGAAATGAAACATTATTAAAAGTCGAAATGCTTTGAATCTTTGATCAATAGGTACTTTGATTTAAATTACGTCATTTTTTAATACATAAATATAACAATCAATTTAACTTAACTTGAAATATGGAAGTATACACTATATACATTTTTTTAAAAAAACTTTTATAACTATTATAACAAATGTATACTACATTTTTCCGTTGTTTTATTAAAGTGCTTACCATATTATGTTGTATAAATACAAATTAAATTTTTTTTTGGTTATTTTTTTGTTATTTTTTTTTGTATCAAATATTTTAAGATGGGTAAGAAAAAAAACATCAAAAGTTATTTTCCATTTATATACTTTTTCGCCAAATTGTCGTTTTTTTTTTGTGTTTATAACATAACCACAGTAGAAAATATTATATCGTCTGTATAAAAGTACACATTAGATATAAAAGTTCGAGATGTTCAATTTTTAAACGAGAAAATTATCATTTTTATATCTCAAAGTAAAATGAAAAAAAAACACAATTACCATCTGAGGCACACGTTTTACACAAGTTTTTGTGAATCCTTAAAAATAACTGCACATAAGTTACTAGGTTTACGTGTTTATAATAATGAATATTGCCAAATGCCCATATTGCAAAGGGTTTAATATATTATATTATAATAATATTATGTATTATTGAATTGATCGCATGTATACTACCTATTCGATTTTTTCGTCGATTGTTTTTGACCATTTATTGGTATATACCTATTTTAACTACCACCATCATCATCGTCGTCGTCAAAATCATCACCAATATCATGGAAATCCTATTATAGAGAGTCACGATTAAATAAAATATATACCTGTCTATATTTGTACATTAATGTGGATCTGCGGATAAGTAAAAACGTCTTTGATCATACAAGTATCACAAAATATTATTAAACGATTCTCAACATTACGAATTCGCACGTATACTCGTACATCATATTGAATTGTTTTGGTGCAAATAATATTCTGCTCGAAGAATAATATTGTAATACGAAAAATGGTTGTACGAGATACGGTTTCTGTAATGTTGACGTTTCAATCAATGCTTCTATATCGTCTAACGTAAATACGAATCGTATCCAATAGTTTAAATAATACTCCTAAAAGGGACCAGCTGATGAGTGAACCAACAGTAGTTGTCTCCGAAACATCCATCACACGTTTGACGTTGCACCATCGTCATTTTCTTTATTATTATGATTATATCACTCATGGTTGATTTGGTATTTATTGGTTATAGGTATTAATTTATGACTTATGAGTTTAATTGTTCTATGTAAAAACGTCGTTTGTAACTGTAACATGGTCGGGGGACCTTTGTTACGATATAAGTTATCCAGGGATGGGTTTCTATTCCTTGTGGATAAGTTTTCCGTAGCTG